TCTCCAGCCCCCACTGGACTTCTTTACTGCCCCAACCATAGCCTCCACCTGTCCCTGCCCTCATGGTCACAGCAGGGCTCATGCGCAGCGCAGCTATGAACATTGCTTCTGCTGGCAACAGACAGTCTCAGCCCCTCATGAATCCTATCAGGCATGCCCCACACCCACCGTCCAGGCCGTCTGGACTCTGGGATCGCCCACTGCCGCATCAGCTCCCTAGAAGCAGGTGACCACGAGGAGGAAGATGCTTGGTAGCATTCTGTCTGCAGAGGGTGATATGGGGACACAGCACCTTGGCCTGTGACACGGACATGTGGCAATGGCTGAAGACAATGAATGTGCTAGTTGGCATGCCCAGCTAAGTCCTTTGACCTGGTTCTGCCCTCTGTCCCTGCAAGAGGCTTTGTTGAAAGGCCACTTGTCCTGCGCCCTGTTGCATTCATCCATGAGACTCATTACCCAGACTTTCCCATTGACTTCTGTTCACCATGTGGTTCATGAGGTTAGGGGTGGCCTTGGTTCCAGCTGTCCAGCTCAGCAACTGTTACTACAATGCTGAAGCTGGCAGAGATGGGGACAGTAAAAAAGACAGTTGGGCCAGGTCTGGAGAGACAGCTTAGGAGTTAAGAGCACAAGCTGATCTTCCAGAAGACCCAGGTTTGATTCCCAGTACCAGATCTGAGTTTCTCTTCTGACCCCTGAGTTCACTACACACAAGTGGTACAGACATACACACAGGCAAAACAGTCATGCACATAAAAACTAAACCCTGTGAGTTCGAGGCCAGCCTGGTCTACAAGAGCTAGTTCCAGGACAGGCTCCAAAACCACAGAGAAACCCTTTCTTGAAAATCAAAAACTTAAAAAAACAAACTGCTGGGGGCTGGAGAGATGGCTCAGAGGTAAGAGCACTGACTGATCTCACATACGGACTCACATACAGAGGTCCTGAGTTCAATTCTTAGCAACTACAAGGTGGCTCAAAACTACCTGTAAGCCGGGTGGTGGTGGCGCACGCCTTTAATCCCAGCACTTGGGAGGCAGAGGCAGGCGGATCTCTGTGAGTTCGAAACCAGCCTGGTCTACAAGAGCTAGTTCCAGGACAGGCTCCAAAACCACAGAGAAACCCTGTCTCGAAAAACCAAAAAAAAAAAAAAAAATAAACTACCTGTAATGAGATCTGGTGCCTCTTCTGGCCTCCAGGGGTACACGCAGTCAGGACATTGTATACTTGGTAAATAAAATATCAAACAAACCAAAACGAAACAAACTGCTGGGCCCTTTCCTGGGATAGGCTGGCTGCTTTTCTGCAAGGAAGCAGTGATTCAGGATGAATATGCCTGGGCACAGTCTCCGGGAGTAGAGAAAGGCGGTAGATCTCATAGATCTCAGGGTCTCCACTAGGAGCTGCTATGGTTGTTCCCCTTCTCTCCAGCAGAGCAGGGCTGGCTCCGATGTGGGCCTACAGTCAGGCTTTGTCCCTCCCTCCTCACTTGTTACCCCTTGAGCCCTAGGGCTCCTGGAGGTTCTACCTGCCATACTCTTCAGAGTATCCGGTTGCCAGGAACCTGATGGGTTTGTGGGAGGGGGCCAGAGCTTAGGGATGATCCTGAGGAGGCTTTGGTGCCTGCATGCTGAACCAGGACATGGAACACTTGTTCCATTACACAAACCCTGGGCGGGCCCTGGGCAGCCTGCCTTCCCCTAGGGCTCCTGTGTAGGCGGTAGGTAGGCTCCTAGTCCCTGGCTCCAATCTAGGTCACCTCAGGGGGAAGGTCAGAACCCCCCTGCCCCCAGCAGCATAAGAGCGAATTATAAACGGGTTGCTGTGAATCCGGGGTCCAGAGAACAGCAACGAGCAGATTGCTTGCTGATTAGCAGAACGGGGATTTGCCGACATGAGATGCTATCCAGGCGAGGGAGGGAAGAGCTGGGTCAAGAGTCCACCAATAGAGGCAGCGTGTGGGGTGCACTGGTCCCTGGATGGTCCTTCTCTGACACCCGGGAGCTCTAGCTGAGACTCCCTCTGGCTTCGTGCCTCCCAAAAGTTTCCCCATCTCTTGCCTCCCAGGAGTTGTGAGGAGCTTCACTGTCTTCTCCCTCCAGGAGTCAACGTCTCAGCCAATCAGGACGAAGAACTGGACCACGAGACCTTCCTGATGCAAATTGACCAGGAGACAAAGAAGTGTACTTTCTATTCCAGCACTGGGGGCTACTGGACCCTGGTCACTCATGGGGGCCTTCAGGCCACAGCCACACAAGTGTGAGTGCACCTGTCCTTGTCTCTACCGTCACTGCCACCATCACCGCCACTCACAAACATGACCATCACTACCCCCCCCCTTTTATTATTTTTGAGACAGAGATCACTGTGTAGCCTTGGAACTCACTATATAGACCAGGCTGGCCTCCAACCCAGAGGTGTGCCTCTGCCTCCCGAGTACTGGGATTGGAGGCACGTGCGTCACTGCCCCCGGTGACCTCGACCACTTCTGTCACCGCCTCCACCACCGTCATCACCACTGGCACCCTGAGCTATGAGACTAGCAGCCTAGATAGCAAATGTTCACCGGGGTGGGGAGTAGCTCCCAGTGGCCATGGGTGTTTCTGCAGAGGGCGGGCTTCTGTCTCATCCCTGGAACCCATGGAGGAAAAGGGGACCAAACTCCGCTCCTCTCTCTCTGAGATCTTGCCTGCCCTTCCCTCAGTTCTGCCAACACCATGTTTGAAATGGAATGGCACAGCCGGCGGGTGGCACTTAAAGCCAGCAACGGTCGTTATGTGTGCATGAAGAAAAACGGGCAGCTGGCCGCCATCAGTGACTTTGTGGGTGAGCACTCTCTGCTTTCTGTAAGTTGAGCAGCTTTCCACCCCGGGTCAGTGCATCTGAGGTCCCTCCCCATTTCATTCATCAGGGAAGAAGTCAGATCCAGGGTGTCTTCTCCTTTACTGTCTTTGGGGAACCCAGGGTGCTTTCTCAACACCTGTACATTAGCAACATCTAGGGACCCCCGGAACCCCAAGTCCGCAGCCTGCATATGGTAGCCAGGGACGAGAGTGGTCCACTCTGCCCTCTCCCTTAGGTGGAGACGAGCTGTTCATCCTCAAACTCATCAACCGCCCCATCCTGGTGCTGCGTGGCCTGGACGGCTTCGTCTGCCACCGCCGGGGATCCAACCAGCTGGACACCAACCGCTCCACCTACGATGTCTTCCACTTGAGCTTCAGGGATGGCGCCTATCAGATCAGAGGTGCGGGAACGCAGGCTGTGGGGAGGCAATGGGGGGCAGGGGATGCCCGGGCCCCCGCCGACCTCCAGCCTTGCCCCCAGGCCGCGGAGCTGGCTTCTGGTACGTTGGCAGCCACGGGAGCGTGTGCAGCGACGGTGACCTGGCAGAGGATTTCCTCTTCGAGTTCCGAGAGCGTGGCCGCCTCGCCATCCGTGCCCTCAGTGGCAAATACCTGTGCGGCGGCGCTTCAGGGCTGCTGCGCGCTGACGCGGACCTGCCTACAGGGGAAGCTCTTTGGGAATACTGAGGACTCACAGGGGCCGACCCCACAGCCCCACTGACCCAGCATTAAACCTTTGTTGCGCAGCTGCCGTGGGCTTTTCGTACCCTAGAGTCTCAGGGTTCTGTCTGCTCAGCCCTGGGACCCCACCCATAGGAAACCCTTTGCCCTTTTGAGCAAGGCTCTCCTCACCTTCTACCGACCTAAGAGGCAGGGCCATGGCTGGAAGCGGGGGCTGCTAGACCCCTCGCCTCACCTCGCTCCAGCTTGCCAGGCTTTGGGTCAGAGATTAAGGAAGACCATCCTAACCTAGGCAGACTTGACCCTGCTTGGGACCCTAACATCCTCTCCAACCACCCAGGCAAATGAGACCCACAGAGAGCTGCAAGTCTAAGACAAGAGCGTGTGTTGGGGTGGGGAGGCAATGTATAGCTGCCGGGAAAGGCAGGAGGCATGCTGGAAAGGAAGTTATGGCCAGACCCCCACCACCCCTTCGTTTACCCAGAGCAACCAGGGTCACACATCAGGACACACCCCTATTGACTCTTGGAGCTGACCTAAGCAGCTTGCCAGGGTCCAGGCCTGCGGTGTCGCGGACGTCAGGCATTGTCTGGCATGAATGGGGGACAGGTGTTGGACAAGACCGGGGGGCCCTGACTCCATGATGACACTCAGGTGAGATCCTCAGCTAAGCCTGGTGTTTCTTCAGCTCCAGTAGCCATCTGAGCCTGGTGCCGGGCCCTACCAATTCTCAGTGTCAAGAATAACAAGTCCAAGTCCAGATGTGTCCAGGGACCCAGGGAGGCTGATGAGGTGACATCACCAGCAATCCCTAGGACACGTGCCTCAGCTCCCAACCTGCTGGAGTTTAGGCTAAAGACAAACCTGGCAATTTCTGTGGACTATAACAGCAAGTAGGGGACACCAGAAAAGTCAGCTGTGACAGACAGAAGCCAGCTCAGCCCGGGAGACCCTCTCTGCTCCCAGGCAGGCCGTCTGTCCTGTGGGCTGAGCCGGCCTCTCTAACTTGCTCAGAGCAGACACTCATGCACGCTACGACACAGCTAGAGGCTCCCACGCAGGAGGTGGCAAGGGTAGACTGAGGAGCAGACACTCATGCACGCTACGACCCAGCTAGAGGCTCCCACGCAGGAGGTGGCAAGGGTAGACTGAGGAGCAGACACTCATGCACGCTACGACCCAGCTAGAGGCTCCCACGCAGGAGGTGGCAAGGGTAGACTGAGGGACCAGCGACGGACAGGGCTCTTAGCAGGTCAGCAGGTGAGCTAGGCCGGCAACCCTGGCGGGGAGCACCTTGTTACAAAAGACTTGTACAGCCGGGCAGTGGTGGCGCACGCCTTTAATCCCAGCACTCGGGAGGCAGAGGCAGGCGGATCTCTGTGAGTTCAAGACCAGCCTGGTCTACAAGAGCTAGTTCCAGGACAGGCTCCAAAACCACAGAGAAACCCTGTCTCGAAAAACCAAAAAAAAAAAAAAAAAAAGACTTGTCCAGACTCCGGGCGGTGTCAAGAGAGGGCATTCCATCTCCTAACTGCCTCCTCCATAGAGGACTCTGTCCTGGAGGATGGACAAATGCCCACGTAAATACCCTGTGTTGTGACGGTGGCAGCTCAGTGTCCAGACCTTGAGGTGCAGATCTCGGGCCCCAAGTGGCCACAGGAGCCCCGGGGGAGGGTAGCTGGGAAGGGCTGCCCACCACCGGCACAGAGCGCAGTGGACTCTGAAGAGGGTGAGGGGCGGGAAGGGAACAGACGCCAGCTGACACGGGGGACATCAGGAAAGGGCAGTTTGCCGGCACACCACGGCACAGACGGCACTCACAGCAGCTCTGCAGACACGCTCTTCCCCCATAGTGAAAACAGCACCAGCAGCAGGGCACGGCCCAGCTGGGGGAGGAGGCAGCTCAGGCAGCGGGCAGTTTAGGGGAGCCCTCCCTCGGTCTTTGTGCTTTGGTTGCAGTGAGCACTCTGCCCCCTGGTGGCTCCAGAGAGACGGCCAGTGCTCCTGGGGTGTGGTGGGGTCAGCAACCGAACAGTCCCACACCCTCAAGTCTGAACTCCAGTAACCCTGTGTCTCCATGGCCCAAGTATTTGGGCACCGATCCTTCCCATCGGAGGTGCAGAGGTTCCAGTACAGGGGTGCAGCCCAACAAGCCCCAGAACTCAGCCTGGAGCGTGTCCCGCAGTGAGGAGAAGCTGGCCAGCAGCTGTCCGGGAGGAGGCAGACATGAGAGGCGGCCAAGCCTTGTGGGTTCAGACACTGCCTGAATCTATCTCACACCCCATTTTTTAGCCCTCCTGGCTGAGCCGGGGAACTGGGGCATCCTTCCCCACCCGGGCAGAACCACAAAGGTCAGCACACAGAAGACATGTGGACAGAGGACTAGGACATACCTGGTCACAACAGGACGAGGCTAGGGTTGCGGAGCTGCCTGTAAACCTGCAGCAGCTTCTGGGCTATACTGTAGGAGCTGACCTCATCCTCCGTGCACAGCTGGTCACGCAGGGTCTGCACCTCGCGCAGCAGCTCCTGCAGACAGCAGCGCGGCTCAGCCTGTGCCCCACCTAGGAACACCTTGTGCTTGGGAGGTGGGAGATGGGTCACAGGGCCTTAAATATGTGACACACAGCCACGTGGGTACGGCCAGGGAAGCAGGAAGTGGACACGCCCTATACATCTTGATCCCATCCAGAGAACCCAGCCCACACTGAAAACTGGGCAGCCCCACAAGGCTGGTGCCCCCCAAGTCCTGTCTTCCCTACACGTCACCTGGGGACACTCCTCATACCCAGGAACTGGGGCTCACCTGGTGGTTGGCGTGGATCTGGTGTAGATACTGCATTCGGAGGTCAGGTGGGCTGGAGCCTTGGGCAGCTTGTTCTGTGACCATAGTCTGGGGGACAGAAGGGTTGGGGGGCGAGAACTGGAGGATGCTTCCCAGAGTGGATGCCTGGGTTCAGAGGCCAGGATCTTCACGCCCCTTAAGTAGCAGTGACACGGTGACCACTCCTTATCTGTCCCACCCTGTTCCCCAGGACTTTCCTCCTCAGAGCAGCAACAGCCCCCACCAATAGTCACTAAGAGAGACGTTTCTGGAGTTTAAGTCGGGGCCTTAAATAACTCAGGAGCCTCAAACTTGCTATGAAGCTTAGGCTGGCCTTGAATTCCTGATCCTCCTGCCACAATTGACCAACTGCTAGGATTTTGGAATGTACCACTAGGCCTGAACAAAGGGACCTTTTTTTTTTTTTTAGAAATATTAACTTTGTTTATTTATTATGTATACAATGTTCTGTCTGTGTGTATGCCTGCAAGCCAGGAGAGGGCACCAGACCTCATTACAGATGGTTGTGAGCCACCATGTGGTTGCTGGGAATTGAACTCAGGACCTTTGGAAGAGCAGGCAATGCTCTTAACCGCTGAGCCATCTCTCCAGCCCCAAAGGGACCTTTTTTGTTTGTCTGTTTGTTTTTAAGACAGGGCTTCTCTGTATAACAGCCCTGGCTGTCCTCGAACTCATGGAGATCCGCCTGCCTCTATCTCCCAAGTGCTGGGACTGTATGCTACAACGCCCACCTTAAAGAGCCCTTTTAAACCCTTGTCTCACTTCTGTGGCTCAGACAGACTTTGGGCTGGGCCTTAGGCAGAACCCATCTGATAAATTTGCTCATACCCTCTGCAGGCTCACTCAGGGCTGGCGTTCATTCTCTCTTCCTGAAAGCAGTCTAGCTTGCTAAATGGCCTTTTCAGATATGAGCAAAGGCTCCCAGAGGCAGACCTGCCTAGGCTGAGCATCCACCTAGGGTCCTAGAGAATGCTGTCTAAGGGGAAGCTAGCATCAGGCAAGGTCTTGGTGGTTGTGGGAGATTCCTGTCTACAGACCATGGTGGTGTTTGGCTGAAGCTGCCCTGCAGTCTGGGGGCAGCTGCGCCATGTGATTCCCTACCAAGGATCGACTGTGTCCCCCTGAAATCACAAACCAAGTCCTGACGCGAGTTCCTCTGAAGGCAGCCTTTTTGTGATGGGGTCTTTGCAGAAGACCACGATAAAGTCACTAGGGTGGCCTTACTCCTACGTGACTGTGTCCTTATCATAGGAAATTTGGGCAAAAGCTGGCAGAAGTTCTTGGGGGCTGGCTGGTGGCGCCACTGCTTTGGAGTCTACAGCATGGGGCCTGAACTCCCTACAACACGAAGCCTCATTCTTGCTAAGTCCAGTTACTGTTACACCACTCATTTCACAACTGGCCCAGGACGAGGTGACTGATCGCTGGGTCATGTGCTAGGGCTGACCTTCCAGCTCTGAGAGCAGCTAGCACCTGCACCTGGCCCTCCGTCCACAGAGCACCTGTCGGCTCGGGAAGCAACGCTAGGGCACACAGGGAAGGGTTCCAGGGTGAGGCTGGAGGAGGCTACAGGAAAGAACTAACTGCAGAACTGCCGGTGGCCACTGCAGACCCTGCCTTGAGCCCAGGACACACCAGCTTCAGGTGGGGGGGTGGGTGCTCTGGACAGAGCCATGCGGACGGGCACCAAGGGAGACTCTGTGCTCAAGAGGTTCTTTCTGAACCTAGGACCTCGCTGGGCAGTTCCTTGGCCTAGGATCCACGCACGGGTGGGGTTTAGCCCAGACATGACAGGTAATGACTACAGACTGATCAGACACAGACTCAGCCATTTCTGAACTTCCAGGGGACACGGGCTGATGCCACCCCTGGAGGGTAGTGTCGTTTGCGCAGAAGTAGCAAGTTTCATGTTGCTTGCAGCAGCCGTATGGGTCCACAGATGAAACCCAGATGGCTGCCTCCACCTGCAGAGCCTGTTCCCGAGCCCCCCCCCCATCCCGCTGGCTGCAGTACCTGCATGCGTCTGATGATGGCGTGATGCGCCCTGCACATGTTGGCCAGAGAGGAGCTCTCCACTTGGATCTCCACGGCCTGGATGGGCCCTGCAGGGCTCAAATCAGTCACAGCTACCTGCAACACATGAGGCCTTGAGCGGCTGCGCATTTTAAAGGCGGGAAGGCTGGGGAACCCGAGTAAGAAGCCTATTTGCTGCAAGGGGCAGCCGTATGAGGACGACTCAGAATCCAGTCCTGTAGGAACCACCTCATTCTGAGCTGCACCAAGACCTAAGCTAAGCTTGGCTCTACGCTAGGAACGGAGTGAGGGCTAAAGTGCCTGTCTCTCAGCACCCTCCAGGGGTCCTGATGGTGCTGACTCCACAGGCTAAGGCTGGGTAGCCCTGGCCTGCTCTTTACACAGTGGCGTAAGACCAGAGCCTGGGGGCTACAGAAAGGTCTTGGCCATCAATGTAAGCATGGACTCTGTCCACTGGCCAGGACCACTGCTCATTCTTAGCCTTGGCCAGTGAGGTAAGGAGTCTGGAGGACAGGGCCTGATAAGTAACATTCCCTGAGTTCTGGGAGTAGGGCCCACGGCTCTTGGCAGACACGGCTTACTCTCCAAGAGTCTCCATTGCAGGGGATCCTGACTGCTAGGAGGACCCCAAAAAGAGGGTGTAAGAGAAGGAAAGGCCTGAGGGGATGGGCTGTCTCACTTAAGGGTCCTCAAAGGGACCCGTCACCCTCTGGTGGTCCAACAGGTGGGCTGCTACTGGCTTGGGATGGTCAACCAACAATACTGTCCTTATTGCCCACTGTGACCCTAGCGGGGCCTGTGATGGATTAGACAGGGCTGGTCCTCCCAGGGACCCACGGAGGGCTGAGGGCCTTGAGGCCCATCCCAAGCACACAGAAGTGACCCCTGCTTGCCTCTCGGACGATGAGGTTGACATCAGTACCATCTGGGGCTACGCCCTGGATAGAGGACAGGGTCTGGGCCCTCACAACAGCTGCGGCGGCGTTCTCGGCAAGGAGCCACTGCAGTGTAGCACTGCACAGGTGGAACCCTGGAAGAGAAGGCGCCCGCTGGGGTGTAAAACGGCACCCGTGTGGCTTCCCTCAAATGTCCCCTTTCCAATCCACCTAAGTGTCCCAAGGGCCCACAGTCCCACCACAAGCAGGGAGCTCAGCCAGTTACCCGAGAGGCAGGGAGGCATAGGGGGTCATCAGGAACCATGGACCCAGAAGCCCACTTAGAAGCCCACTCGGGGAGGTCCTACATGGCACAGGCTACAGTCCTAACTGTGCCCTGGTGCACAGACATAAATGCTGTACAAGACGGCTTCGGCTCTCCCCAGGACAGAGACACAATCCGACATCCACTAGTGGCAGGACAGAGGTGCCAGCAACCAGGACACTTCTGCCACAGACCCAGCACCAAACAATACAGACAGTTCAGCACACTGTGGGAAAAAAAGCCCGGCCAAGTGTTCTCGCAGATCTCAGACAGACCGCTTCTGGTGCTCCATGTGTGAGAGCTCACCAAGCTGTTCTTTGGTGGCATCTGCCACCCGCTTAGGTTGTACCTCCGCACAGGTTTTAAAAAACACCCAAGGGGGCTGGAGAGATGGCTCAGTGGTTAAGAGCATTGCCTGTTCTTCCAAAGGTCCTGAGTTCAATTCCCAGCAACCACATGGTGGCTCACAACCATCTGTAAAGAGGTCTGGTGCCCTATTCTGGCCTGCAGACATGCACACAGACAGAATATTGTATGCATAATAAATAAATAAATATAAAAAAAAAAAAAAAAAAAAAAAAAAAAAAAAAAAAACACCCAAGACCTGACACAAGACTCCTACAGCAATCAGGAGGTAGCGGAACTCATAGGAGCCACAGGGAGAGGAACATCCTGCTTCCACAGGCTGCAGGGCCCTGAGGCCAAAGTGAAGCCAGTAGTGCCACCAACCTGAGTGACCGTCCTCCAGGGCGGTTCTGAGAAGCACCGCGGACACCCTGATGGACGCTGTAGATGGAGGCAGGTACTTGGCCCGGAGGGAGGCAGCGCCAGTTGGCTCACTGCCGGGGGCTTGGCAGGCCTTCAGGAAGGTTTCCACGGGCTCACAGGCAGAGCCAGGCACGCAGGGCGCCTGCGCGGGTTGTGAGGCCACGCCAGGGAAGCGCAGACACTGCAGCATGTCCACCGTGCGCTTGCACAGGGGCAGGCAGACACCCTCTTGCTTAGGAAGGTTGAGAGGGAGCTTCTCCAGATAGGGGACCTCTAGAGGGTCGGAGGGGGCCAGGGCCCCACCCACCACCTCCTTGAGGCTATAGTAGAACCAGCAGGACATTGTCACTGGCAGGTCGAGCATGCCACTCTCGCTAGGACCCAGGGGCAGCGTCACTTCCCGCCGACTGCCTGGGCCAAGTCTGTCCACTGGAATGGTGTAGGTAAAAGCTGAACCAGCCCCATCCAGGTCTAAGGCGGAGGAACTAGTAAGCACCTGGATACACAGGGTCCAGCCCTGGTCCAGGCTGAAGCTGCTGCTATTCTCCAGTGTACAGGTGGCCATCAGCATGTCTCGCAGCTCCAGGCGGCTCCAGGAGGTAGCGATGGTGCACGAGATGGGCCGGGCGCCGTCCTGGCTGGACAGCAGGGCACAGCTCACATTCATGGCCTCGTTGAGACTTGTTATGGCCTTGTTGCGCTGGTCAACAGCCTTCTTCAGGAAGGACACTCTGCAAGGCACAGACACGACACCTAGGAGATTGAGACCACAGCAGAGGGAGCCATATCTGGGTAAAGCTCTCGGAGCACGGAGCATGGAGCACGGGAGTAGCTCCTCGGCCCAAGGAGCGGGTCTTTCCCTGTCTATAGGAGACAAGACAGGATGGAGGAGACACTGAACCAGTTTACGCCTGTTACAGATGAGTTAGCCCTACAAATCACCCCGTGTGCACACGAGTGGCTCCCTCTTCCCTTCGCGACACTCCACAGTGACAGTATGACAGACAGTAGCCGGTAGGCCTACGGGAATATCCTCAACAAGTCACAAGGCTGTAAGGCCCGCAGACCGCCAAGCCTGGATCAGTGCCACCCAGGATGCTGCTTCCCAAGGACAAGACACAGGCTCGGCTTGAGCCCGAGCCCGCAGCTCACCTCTCGGAGACATCACCGATGTCCAAGAGTAGCTCCTTAATTTTCTGGCCTGCATTTGCCACAGCCATTTTGGCAGGCACAGGCACCTCAGAGTTCAAGTCCAGGACGCAGGAGATCAGGCGCCCTTTAGAAGACAGGGCCAGGAGCTCGGTGCTACCTGATGGTGGACACATGCAGGGCCAGTCAGCAGGTCTGGGGCAGCGGCCACGTGCTCATCAGGGTTTGCTCTGGACTCCAGGAAAGGGGTTGGCAAAGGGCCAGAAATGAGGTTACGGGGGTGGGGGGAGACCAGGGAAGCCAACACCAAGGGGCTGGGCAAAGAAGGTGACCACTGGTCTCCATACACGTTTTGATGTGATGTCACGGTGGTGACCCACACAGGCAGGGCAAAACGGGCCAAAGGACACTGCAAGGCATCTGACCACTCAAAAGTGCCTCAGTCTGCAACAGGCCACAGAGAGCAAGGCCGGTGAGCTTTCCAAAGAGAAGCACCCTGGAGGCTGAGCTATGTTCACCTCATCTTCACTGGCTTTTCCGCCACATCCGCCTGCCTCCTTCTTGGCACTGAGGGGATAGAGGCTGCCCCTGCCAAAGGTCTGCTTGCTTCCCTACTCCCAACACAGCTCTTACCCTGAACCCTGAAACAGGCAGTTTAGAAGCTGAAAGTCAGTGCCCAGGTGCCCTGGTCTATGGCCACACCCACTCCTGCCCCAACCCTGTGGCGGTTTGGCTCTTCCAAGCCTTTTCCTCCAGCAAAGCTTTTTCGGCAGATTTAACATACTAGTAGCTGACCTTAATGGGAAAGCGCTGGAGGGTGGGGAATGTCTTCCTTTCACCCCAGAGTCAGGCAAACCCAGCTAAAGCATTCTTAGAGAACTCCGAGACACCCTCTGAATGGCTCATAAGCAGGTCATCCAGCAGAGAAAGCAGGCTCATCCAGCTCTCAGAGGATGCAGGGAGGCTTGGCCTGACCTGATTTGAGGCCTGCTGTGGGGGACGCTCTGACACCAACCCCACAAGCCACAGTTGTGAGTGGCACTCGACTGAGGGGCCAGAGCACACTCAGGAAGGACACGCATGCAGAGGTACCTCGACCCCGAGACAGGAGACTGGTCTGTGACGGGCCTGGTGAGGAAAGCCTGTATCTGCTGCCTTAGAAAAAGTCTCACCGAAGAACAAAGAAAGGAGCAAGGACAGCTGAGGGAGAGACTGCCCCAGGGCTGGGCGACACCTAAGGCAGCTCGTACCTGTAGATGCCCTTGTAGACACACAGACGGTGACAACACTGCAGATGCTCAAGCTGGCTGGGCACAGCATGGAGGGCAGACCTCCTGTGGCCCCGTCTGGCTTCTCGAGGTTCCAAGGAGTGTCTCTCCGAGCCATGTCGACCACACAGAGGTTTGAGGGGGTGCTGTGGTACATGCGGCCATTCCTGCCACAGGCGGCACAGAGCACAGGCCCCGGGAGGCTGTACTCGCGAAGCTCTGGCACCAGATTCCCCGACTCGCTCCAGCTGGCCTTGATGGCCAGTGTCCGGCCTTGGTGGCCAAGGGCTACGAGGCAGTCAGAATGCACGTTCTCGTCAGACAGCAGCTCTCTTGCCTCTTCCTCAGCATGCGGTTCTGCCCTTAAAGCCCCGATGAAGACCACAGGCTCCTCCAGGTGATGGAGGATCTTGACCAGGACCTTAGGGTCACCGGGAGCTAACTCGCAAGTAACCAAGGCCTTCAGGACCACACAGCAAAGCTGGCCATCAGGGAGACCGCAGAGGATCACGGGGGACTGCAAGAGGGTGGCGTCAGCTCCGAAGAGGAGACCAAAGAGGGCCTCCTCTAGCATGAAGCAGCCACAGCCCTCGGGGTGATCATGAGGCGCCCTGGAGTCTGGTGGGAACACACAGCACAGCACTGGCAGGAAGCTGGGAGCTGCAGGCTTCTCGGGCACCCCACCTGGGGGGGTGCAGGTGGACAACTCCACCTCACCGAGCAGGCTTCCAGGCCGAGGCTCCTCCCCTGGGCAGGGACGCTCGAACAGCTGCATCTTCCACTGGGTGGGGCCCTGGACCAGGGTGACCAGCATGTCATCCAGCACACTGAAGGCACAGAGTGCGGCATCGGGGAGGACACAGGCATCCGGATCCACACGGATCACGGGGAAAGGGCGAGCCTCATCCTCTTCGTCCTCACAGGCCTGGGTCACAGACCTTCAGGGACAACACAACCGCGGTCAGTACTGGGTGGGGGAGCCTCATGTCATGTTTAGCAATAACCTGACCTGCTCTGAGCAGGCTAGGCAGAAGGCATCACAGGCATCCATCCAGAGGCCATTCGGCAGGACACACACACACACACACACACACACACACACGCCGTGTGACACGTGGATCAGCCAGAAGCGCGGCTCTACAGACAATGCTCCCAGGGTTGCACCAGGGCTGTGTATTCGAGTTTCCCCGGCACAAGCCAATGGCCAACCAGCCTTTGCTGTCACCACCAACAGGAGACACCTCTTTCTGAGACCCACTTTGAGGTCTTGCCAGACACCGAGGGCAAGAGCGGTTGTGTTCCTGGCTGCGGGCGGCACTACCTGAGCCTCAACAGCTAAGAACTTCTCGGAGGCTGACACTCTGGGGTGCAGGTCCACCCGACGTGCGGACCGGCCGGAGCCGCGCGGGCCACGCCCCCTCACCTGCTCTGCGAGTCCAGCGACAGACAGTAGATGCCAGTCCGGGCGCACAGGACATAGAGCGCCCTGCGGGTGGCCAGGAGCTGCAGGTGCCACACCTGGTCGGGAAACTGGAACACCGCCTGGGCGCCGGGAGAGCGAGGTCAGGCGAGGGCACGCGCGGCCCCGGCTCACCTCGGGAGGCCGCCGCCCGCCCGCCCGCACGCCCGCCCGCCTACCGCTCACCGTCAGCATCCCGCCCTCCTGGTCGTACACATAGACGAATTCGCGCCCCGTGGACAGAAAGACCTCCGCCTCGTGACGCAGCACATGCGGCTTCCCCCCCGCCCGGCCTCCGAGCGGGCAGCAGAAGTCCGACAGGTAGTGCACGCGTGGGGAAGCGCCCGCCATCCTGCGGGCGCCGGGCCAGAGCTCAGCCGGGAGAGGCGGCGCCGCCTCCAGGCTTTACGGCCGCCCACAGCGCGGCGCGGCCTCCGCCGTAAAGCGGCCGCTGCGGAGGCGGGGCCGGGGGTGGCGGTTCTGCGGTCCCGCGAGCTGGCGGGAACGCCCTGCTGGCTGCACAGAGCCGCGGTTTAGAGGAACGTGGGAAGCCTGAGGGCGCACAGATGGGTAGCCTCTACTTTCAAGTCCACTCTGGCCCAGGGAGGGGTTCTTGCCTCAGACCACCTACCTGGTGAGCAGAGTAGGGTAAGGTTGTCCGCCACCCCCGGTTTTGTGTCAGCACTTGGGGTGACACCAACATAGCATGGGCTCCTTGGAGTTGGGTGGCTCCGTACACTGAGCAGTTCCGTGATCAGGGTAAAAGGGACTTCGGGCCAGCCAGCCAGAAGCGCCTTTGCAAAGGAATTCTGAATTGGCAGAGGATGCTGCGTGCCCTAAATAGCAAGTCTAAGGAGGCTTTCCATTTTCTTCTATGACAGTTCCACCTGCTGCTGAGGGCGCAGGCTGAGATGAGAAGTGGAAGATCAGGTACTCCCCACTCCTCCAAAACACTCATCAGGAACTAGATGCCTACCGCTGCCTAGGCTCCAGTAGTGGCAGCTCCGCGGAGGCTGGGGCAGGATTGCTTGAGTAGAATGTGGGGTCAGCTCAGGAAATAAAATAATGCTCTCTTAAAATGATGACATAATAATGTCTCTTAAAATAATGCTCATCTGAAAACTTCAGTGGCCAAATCTAGGAGCAAAGGTGTGTGGGGCATAACCAGGTACAAAAGAAATGTCTGGTGGGCTTGGACATTGTACAATTCTAGCACTGCTGTTAGAACACCGTCCCGAGGCTGGAACGTGGTCCAGCCGTTAAGAACACATGCTGCTTTTGCAGAGGACACAAGTTTGGTTTACAGCATCCACAACCCCAGCAGCTCTCACATCCACTTTTCTATTCATGTGCATAAAAACAATAAACTGGGTGGTCGTAGCACACGCCTTTATTCCCAGCACTCAGGAGGCAGAGGTAGGTGGATCTCTGGGTTCTGAGGTCAGCCTGGTCTATAGGGTAAGTTCCAGGACAGCCAGGGGTGCACAGAGAAAGCCTGTCTTGAAAAAGCAAAAAAACAAAACAAAACAAAAAAACCTAATTTTTTGGGAGACACTCTCATTGTGTGGTCCTGGCCTGTCTTTGCCTCCAAAGTGCTGGAATTAAAGACATCCACCACCATGCCCAGCTATAAATTAAAAAACAAGAAACAAACAACCCGGACCTAGCAAACCAACTCTAAGCGGCCTTTAGAACTGATCTCTGACGCTGTCCCCAGGCTGAAGACTCCTTGGCTGGAAAGGCCTGGGGGGATGAAGTTGTCTTCTGAGCCTCCTGCAGAGTTGAAGTCCTCAGCTTACCTTCTGCACACCAGGCTTTGACACTCCAGACTGTCTGTGCTGCACAGTGTAGCACACACACGCACGCACGCACACACACACATATACCACAACTGATGGATAATGGTTCTGGGCACAGGAACAAGGCACTGGGAGCAGGGTGATCACTTCAGGCGCTTTTATTAGGTTCCACTGCAGGGCTAGGGTCAAAGAAATGCTAGTTCACACCCAGCCGATGCACACCTATGAGCCCAACAGAGCCGGAGTGGGAGCGCCCATGGCCCAGGAGCAGGTTGGTCAGGGCAAGGCCAGGGCTGGCCCCATCTCTCAGCCTGGGTTCACTTGGGTAGGTATATCCACCAACATCCCTTTCTGGGTCATAACGCCTGATGGCAGAGGGATTAGAGGTGGGACTGGGGCCACCTCCATGTAGGAGGAGGTAGCTGAGCTGCTCAGGCCTGAACCTTCTGTAGGGCTCGCACCAGGCTGGTGGCATCAGCTTGACTTTCTTTGGACAACAAAATAAAGTGCGCTACTGAACAAAGAGTAACTCAAAACCATAAGCAGAGAAATTACAACAATTTCTTTAGCTGAAAGACAGAGAAAACAAGAATTATGTGGATGTCAGAGCATGAGAAAAAGTAAGTGACTTTGCAGACAAAGATGAGTGGGGAAGGAGTGGCAAGGTCTCCAGGGTTTGTGCTGCCCAGCACCTGCCCAGCGTGAAGAACGGGGCTAGTACAGTTGGCATGGGGACACAGCTGTGCCAGGACGTCCAGTCTACCAGATCTCAAGGACCAGGAAAGACAGAAATGTGAAGCCCTAGCCAGGGAGACCACCAGGAGGGAGGGAGATAACCCTGACCCTCCAGGATGATCCTAGTAATACTAAACCAAACTCAATGGGTCCACAGCCCCAGGGCCTCGGACTACAGATCACCTGCCAGGTGAAACCAGAGACACTAACCCCAGCCCTGCCACAGACCAGTGTGCTGCCTGCGGGGCCGAGGACGTGGAAGGCAGCATGGGTACACTCCACTAGCCGGACACTATGGCCTCCAGCAGTCTGTGGTTGGCATAGCCCTTCCCAGGGTGAGGATAGCCGACTTAGCTCTCATTAAGGCAAAGAGGCATCAAGATATCCGTGTCTTACCTGGGTAAAGGCTGTCACAACAGAGCCACGAGGACACTCAGAGACCATCTTTAATTGCCCTCACTTGTCCAGGCCTCACGGTGGCTGTCTCAACTGCCACAGCACTGTGCAAGGCCTTGGGTAAAGGAACAGTGCTGGGGGAGGGGACCACAATCCCAGGGCTGGCCCATAGACTCCAAGGGGCTGACCCCAAGCAAGAGCCACCCAGGCTACCAGCTGCCAGCATCCTGTGGCGTGGTAGGAAAGTCTCAGGCACTGAGGTTTGCTTCAGAGGAGAACTGATGGTGGCCCCTGCCCAATAACCACCTGAACACCCAGGAGGGCTGCACTAAAGGAGGAAAGAAAGCAGAATTAAGTCGCTCTCGCTCCTGTCTGTGCAGTTTTATCTTAAAAACAATAAATAGAAGTTTTCTGGGCAGGAATTATTGATAACTGATTTCAGGCAAGGGCAGGGGTACAGGTCATACCTAGCCACACATGCTCCCAACGGGAGGGAACAGAGACAGCCAGGAGCATCCATCCAAAAACTGGGGAGAAGGTGGGAGGCAGAAAACAAAAAGCATAGAGGAAGGAAAGATAGCAGGGCGACAGCAGCAACCTCTCTCTGCACCCCAATTTCGAGTGATAGTTCAGAGGCGCTCAGTCCTTCCAATACAGTGGGGAGCTACTAACTAGGTGAGGCATGTGGGGTGCTCTTGGGCAGGGCTGCTCTGCCCTTCCAGTTTGGAGGTTCTGTTCAACCCTAGCATAGCAGCTGGGGCTCTTTCTCTTCAAGATCCGCACTGAGAAGCCTCAGTGTATATCCGGAATTCCGGGGGGGCTGGCTCCGCTGCTTCAGGGTTGTGGGCGTCAGGCCTTACAGGAAACACGTGGCGCTCCAGGCTTCAGAGAGGGCGAGGCTGGCCCAGTCCTGCTCAGCAGAGGGCCAGAGCCCTAGGTCCTGGGGAGGCTGCACATCTCGCAGTGGCCAGTGCCAGGCTGGTTCATGAAGGTGCAGTGCTGACAGGCCCACATGGCAGAGGTCGCAGCACGTGCAGAGCCCCCGACTGCACCATACTCCTGGATGCCTGGGAGCTGCACACCGACAGTGCCTGCAGGGTAAAGAGCAGGGAGAACTCATCACTTCTGCACCGTGAGACAGGGCTCTATGGCATGGGCAGGGGGGCTCACAAATCCAAACTGTTAGCACATCAACTGCTCTGGCTCCAGGTGGCAAACACCCCACCCTGCTCTGCACTAGACGCCTGCTCCCTTGTCGCTAGGTAGAACTGTCACTCCCCTGTGGTGGGCATCTGGGTAGTTTCATTCTTACATCAACTCTTTGTGGACTTGTATCTTCCTCTCTCCTGTAAAGGTCCAGCAGAAAGATGGCCACATCAGAGGCCATTCCTTGTTTTGTTTTTTCCAAACAGGGTTTCTCTGTGTAACAGTCCTTGCTGTCTTTGAACTCACTTTTGTAGACCAGGCTGGCCTCAAACTCAAAGAGATCTGCCTGCTTCTGCCTCCCGAGTGCTGGCTTAAAGGTGTGCCATCACCTCCAGCTCTGTAGCATTTCCTAAGATATTCAAATCCACTCCCAAGTAGAGTTCAAGTCTTATCTGCCCTATGTTCTCAACAGTGCCTGATACTGTCAGGTTTTTTTTGTTGTTGTTGTTTTGGTTTTTTTGTTTGTTTGTTTTTTTCATTTTAGCTACTCTGATGATCGTGTAGTAGCAGCCAAAGTTTTCACTGCAATTTCCTGGATGAGAAATGATAGTACATTCCTACGTCTTCTTCTGCGAAATGTGTTAACGAGCCCTTTCTTAAGTTCCTGACTGTTCGCAGTTCTTACTCCTTTAGGTGGGAGGGACACGTCATCTGTGTGAGTTCCAAACACTGTCTCCCTGTTGGTGCCTTTTCAGGGTGCCAACAGTCTTCTTCAAATAATACAACTGTTTAATTTTCAACTTAAATAATTTTCTTTTAGCCGGGCGGTGGTGGCGCACGCCTTTAATCCCAGCACTCGGGAGGCAGGGGCAGGCGGATCTCTGTGAGTTCGAGACCAGCCTGGTCTACAAGAGCTAGTTCCAGGACAGGCTCCAAAACCACATAGAAACCTTGTCTCGAAAAATCAAAAAAAATAAATAATTTTCTTTTGTTGCTTGGGCAAGCGCTATGCCAACAAGCAACAACAGCAGCCAACCCTGAACTCAGTGCATAGCCCAGTGCTAGTAAGTGCTGGGATTTACGGGTGTACCACCATAGGCTGATTTACCAGATTTGGGGTTGGTGTTTGTCTCTACCTGACCTGAAATTCCTGAATCGTCTAAAAGAATTTTTGCCTACTCCAAGATCTTTTTAAGATTTAAGTGTAGGTCTCCAGCCCCCTCCACCCTCTCTTTGGTTTCCAAGACAGGGTTTCTCTGTGTAGCCCAGGCTGTCGTGGAACTTTCTCTGAAGGAAGATAGATGTAGG